TCATTAGATATTCTGAAGGATGTTTCTCTCCAGGGGTGAAGCTTGGTGATACTTGAACATCTAAGCCAGTAGCTGGATCCTTTCTGGAGACTGATTCTTTTTTTTTTTTTTAAATATTTATTCTGTTTTAGGTGGACACAATGTCTTTATTTTACATTTATGTGGTGCTGAGGATTGAACCCAGTGCCTCTTGCAGGCTAAACGAGCACTCTACCAATGAGCCACAATCCCAGCCCAAGTAGCTGCATCTTAACAATGGGTGTTGTCCCATTGGCAACCATCATCTTCCTGAGCATTTCTGTCTTAGGTTAACTCCTGTTGACAACTCATGCCCTGGTGGACTGGACCCCATCCAAGCTATTAAATTCTCTCTGATGGTCCCTCAGGTTGCCCCATGGAGTTGGCTCTCCTCCTCCAGCCATGCCACACCTGCCTATAGTTACCACCCAGTTAGTCCATTCAAACTAGGATGACTGGTTAGGTTCCAGCTCTCATAATTCAGTCATTTCATGAACCTCTGAATATTTCTACATTAATATAGGAGCTTTTGGTGGACATCTCATATCCAAACTGTAAAACTGAGGAAGGTCACTGTGACCTGAGTATAGAGGAATTATTTCCTCTTACATGTGATAATCATAATACTCTGTCCACACTGAGCCCAGAGGCCCAAGCCTTTTGACCCAGAATTGAGCATTGGCAGCCTGTTGGCCTAATCCATGGTACTGTGTTTGACTAGTGGATCAACTTTGAAAGATTTGGAATGGAATCCCTTCAGGTCAGACATGTACTCTCTATTCTTATGCATTCATGTTACTGACTTTTATGTTTTGGATGATCTATCTTTCCCACTCCTTTATAGAAACACTTCTGTAGCATTGGCAATCCATGTTAAGTGACCGCTTTGAGAAAGATTTATCAAAATGAAGGGGAAGAGGAAGAGGACAATCAAGGTGGTAAAAGAATCAAAATACAGTTCACCTTGTCGGAGTTGAGAGAAAAGAGATCTATAGCCTGGAGAGCTAGATCTTTAAATACTTGAAGGGCTGTAATGTGGAGGAGGAGTTAGAGTCAGTCCATCTTGGGCCTGTTTGTGGACTATGCCCATCCTTTAGTCACTAAGTTTAGAGGATGCAGGGATGAGTGAGGTGATTCTGTTGTCCATGCCAAGTTTTACCATCATGTATGGGAGATGCATAGAGATGGCTGTAACATAGTAATACTTGTACAGTTCCCCATCAGGCAGGAGTGAGGACACAGATCTCAGCTTGGTTTGGAAAGGCCTTTCCTAACAATTGAACTTTCCCCAAATAGAACAGCATGCCTTGAAAATTTACCAGTCATGTTGTCCAGCTGTTGACAGTGACCTGGAAGCCATTCCTGCTTCGACTGTGGTTGGAGGAGATGACTTTTTTAGGCCCCTTCTGCCTCTATAGTCTATGGCTCCCAAGACTACCAGCTTGTTTTCCTTCATTGACTTGAAGTGACTTCTACAAATTAAATGCTCACAAGTTAGGCTTGGTCTTCTGAGAAGACCACACTGGAAGGCATGTTGGCTTACAGGGTTTCCACAGTGTGGGATTGCAATGGTGTTTGTCTCATGGAGATATAAGAACCCATAGGCAGGGGCCAACTGTTTTACTGTTTTTATTCATGAATCTCATAGAAGACTCTACTAGATTGTGGCATAATTGGCTCAGTCTCAGGTATAGTCTTATTGCTTCTTTTCTTTGTTGACTTGCATCTATCTGGCTGTGAGGATCAGTGTTGTTCCCTTGGAGTGACAGAACACTTTGAGTCATGGGACTAGTTTGTTGAGGAAAGTCTGAGCCTTCCCCCCCCCCAAAAAAATCCAGATTACCCCCCCACACACACCAGAATTCAACTATCAAGACATATTACTAATACTTCTCCTTTGATGGAAGAACTTGCACATAATTCAGATTTCTACTAATGGTGTGTCCCCAAAAGTCCCTTAGCCTGAGGAAATGTTTAAGTTGCATTTTGGCTTCATGCAGAAGATGGAACCATGCGAAACAGCTTCTCCTTTCAGCCTTTGAGGCACAGTGTTTTGGCAGCACCATTCTGGCCTGTCCTCCTTCTGCTGTCATGGGCCATGTCACTCCACTGTCTGTGGACTGTAGTGGTATGGAAGGCAGACATGCCCTTGCTTTCCTGGCATGCACATTCTAAGAGTCAGAAAAACAGATGCAACTGTAGCCCCCATCCAATGCGGGCTGCTGAATCAGTGTCACTCAGGTGCATTTGAGCTGGCATGAAATATCACACAGAGACACAGAAAATACCTTTTTCTAGGGCAGTTCAAGACAGTTCTGCACCTCAGACACAAGCTCCCACAAGGGGAGCAAGAGAAAAATACAGGAGGCAGGCTTAGAGAGTGGGGAGCACGTTTTGAAGCCCTATTTATTGAAGAGAGCCAATCAATGGAAGGTAAGGGGTAGTATCACAACAAACAGGTGGGTGGAACTCATCGGGTGACGCCCAGTTCCATGGCTGCACCTCTCCTGGCAGAGGTGAGTCCACCTGCATTGCAGCAGGTGCAGTGCCAGTTCAGTACCACCTTACTCGAGACCTAAAGATGTGTGCAGAGCTCCTGTGCAGGGCGGCCTCCGACAGAGGCTCTGTGGGCTTAGCATCTTTCACCCTGCTTTAGCTCTTTGAGACATTCCTCACCTCCAAGATGTGCTAAAAATTACTCGAAGCAGGACACAAGAGAAAAGATGTAGTCGACTGGGGATGCAGAACTGCCACCTCTCTGCCCAAACTATGCAAAGCAGACAGGCAGTTCTTTCTAAAATGCTTGGAGCCAGAAGTAAATGTGAAACCCCTCGGCTGCTGTGGCCCCAGGCTGTGTGGACACCTCAGTCATCCTGTCGGACACTCTTTCCTTCCAGGAATTCTCTCCCCTGGTTGAGTGAGACTTGAGTCAGTCTGTGGTATGCCCCCTATTCCATGAGATGGACAAAGGCACCTGCCTGTTGCCCTGAAACCCCTGGAACAGCTGGAGTCACAAAGGCAGAGGATGGAGATTCTCAGCCTCAAACAACCGGTTAATCTTACCTGAAGGCTGAAAAATGCAGATGCACAATGTTTATAAAGCAGCTTTATTGAGTTTGCATGTCTCATCCTTTACCCTTCTAGAGTACACGATACAGTGGGTTTTAATATACTTGTTGATATGTACAGTGTGATTGCTTTTCATCCCTGGGACAAAATACCTGGGAAAAACAACTTAGAGGAGGAAAGATTTATTTTGGCTCCCAGGTTCAGAGGTTTCATTCTATGGTTGACTGGCTCCAAGGCAGGAACACCATGGCAGAAGAGCAAAGCTACTCCCTTCATGATAGCCACGTAGTAGGGAAAGAGAGGCTAGGGACAAGATATACCCTTCCAGGATGTGGCCCTGTGACTTACTTCCTCCAACCAGGCCCCACTGCCTGTAGTTTCTGCTTCTTTCTAATAATGCTATCAAATATTAATGCCTCTATAGATTAGTCCACTGATGAGGTCAGAACCCTCATCCAGTTACTTCCCCAGATCCACTTCTGAATATTGCTGCACTGGGGACTAAGCCATCAACACATAAGTCTTTGGGAGATATTTCTTATCCAAAACCATTAGTTTGGCCACTCCCACAATTTTAGGACATTTTCAGCAGTCACTCTTTCATGTCCTCACCAAGTATAGATTTGCCTGTTCTGGACATTTCATATAAATGGAATCATGCAATATCTTTTTTTTTTTTTCTGTTACTAGCTCATCCCATTTAGCATAGTGTTTTCAAAGTTCATCCATATTATAGCATGTATCAGTACTCCATTCCTTTTTATGGTCAAATAGTATTCCATTGTGTGAATATACTATATTTTGTTTATCATTCATCAGTTGATTGACATTGGAGTTGATTCTGCGTTTTGATCTTACAAACGGTGTAGCTTCTAAACAATGTACACAAGTTTTTTTTTTTTTTTTTTTTTTAATGTGTGGACATCTGTTTTCCTTTCTTTTGGGAATATACCCAGGATTTCTGGGTCACATGGTAACTGTGTGTCTTAATTTTTTGAGAGATTGCCAGACATTTTCCAAAGCAGCTGCACCATTTTACAGAGATGTTTCATAAAAGAGATTTCATCATCATCTCCATGGTGCTTCCTGATGTAATTCTAACGTCCTGCCTGTGTGGATAAGAATCCTTTCTCTGCTTCGTTTGGAAATAAAATTAGTGCAGAACAGATTTCAGCACTGTACCTGAAGTGAAGAGTATTTTTAGAACAGAGCAGTCACTTCTTCCAAGTTGCTGTTTTCAAAGCCCCACATTCCTCGGGTCTCACTGGTAGTCCCAAGTTACCTTGAGCACCAAGTAGGGGACTAGTCAGTCTGATACTGGAAGATTGTCCAGGGCCCAGCTGCAGCACAGGTTGGCCACAAAGAGTTAACCTGATCTGGAAGACAAATCTGTAGGTTAAGTGGAATAGAGCCACAGATGTGTAATCCCACTCCTGGGGATGTGATATCTCTTCTTGAAAGTGTCGTCACTTTTTTGGTGCTATCTGGTAAAAACTGAGTCATGAGGTGTCGACAAAAATCCAGTACACTTCATGTGAAGCTTGAAGCATTCTGCTCATTCCTGAGATATCCGCGGCTGTCAGCCGCCATTGAGATGGTAAACAACTTGCTGGGGATGAAGTCCTGCCTCTGTGGCTTTTCCTGACTTGTCTGAGCAAGGCACAGACCCAGACGGTGTGCCTGCAAGAATCTGAGGGTGAGGGAGGACTGAGTGGTGGTGACATGAAGATGAAGTGGCCTCAGCTTTCACAGAGGCTCTGCTTCCAGAGGTGCCCCATGGAGGGAGGCAAGAACCGATTGTGTTTGTCCCATGAGCTTAAAAAAAGATCACTCCCTCTTGGCTGGAGAAGAGCCTTTCCAAAAGGTGGCTGTGAACCTACCTGAGCGTTGGCCTCCCTTTTCTGTATTTGCAGCCATGGCACAGGTTATGAGAGTGAGAACCACACAACACCCATCCTCTGTGGTGCCCAGTACAGAATACACACCCATGGTGTCTTCAGAGGCATTCAGGTGAGTACTCAGGGATGTCCCCTGGACGCTGCCTTCATGCACGGCCTCTTTTCCTATTCCACTGTCCTTCAGTTCCTTGCCGATTGACCATCCGGCCCTGGAAAGACTTAGCCATCAGGGACCCCCACCTCCTCCTCCTCCTCCAGAGATGCTGTCTCCTGCCTAACTTAGACCAAGATGCTTCCTGCAGAGTCTTGCTCTTTCCTCCTTTCAACAGAGTGAACTGTACGGCTCTTGTATTTGCTAGGCAAGCTCTATTCTGGGCTTGAATCAACAACCTGGACTCTTACAAGATTTGATCTGCATTGGAAAGTGCCTAAAGATGGACTGTCTTGCTGCATGTTGGTAATAGCAATAATAACAGTACCACCTAGGCTCAGACATTTTCTTTTTTTTGGTACCAGGTATTGAACCCAGGGGCACTTAACCACTGAGCCACATCCCCCGCCCCTTTATATTTAATTTAGAGACAGGGTTTCACTAAGTTGCTTAGGGCCTCGCTAAGTTGCTGAGGCTGGCCCTGGAACTTGTGATCCCCGGCCACAGCCTCCTGAGCTGTTGGGACTACAGGCATGCATCACTGCGCCCAGCTACTCGGACATTTTCTATGTGCTAAGATTTATACATGGACCTTAAAAAAATGGACTTTGTCTTTTAGAGAAGTTTTAGTTTTACATAAACATTGTCCAGAAAATACACAAAGTTCCCATATCTCCCTTCCCAGTATCCTTAGTTTCCCCTATTATTAACATCTTGTATTGGTACGATATATTTGTTATAATTGATGTGCCAATATTGACGGGTTCAGGCTAACTAAATCTATAGTTTACATTAGGGTTCACTTTTCATGTTGTATAGTTCTGTGGGTTTTAATAAATACACAATGCCACGAATCTATTTGGATAGCATCAGATCATGGTATTCTTATGTGGTGTATCACCTTAAAAATGCTCTATCCTCCAACCGCTCATTACTCCCCTCCTCCATTCTTCCTTCCCAGCACCCACTGATCGTCTCTCAGAATGTCATACAGTTGGAATTGTACTTATGTCGCACTTTCAGGCTGACTTCTTTGTATTCTTCCTGTGCATTTAAGGTTCCTCCATGTCTAAACATAGTCTTCCTCCCCTCATTTAGTCCTCAGCATACATCTGTGAGGTAGGTATGTTATTATTTCCATTTTACTGGATGGGACAGCAAAGCCCAGGTAAGATGAGTGACTTGTTCAGAACCACATAGCTAACAAGCGGTGGAGCTGAGACCTATAATTCAGGCTTGTTTGACTCCAGAACCCTCTTTAATTTTGTGGTCCTGGGGTTTGAACCTAAGGCCTTGTGCATGCTAGGCAAGCTCTATTCTGAGCTACATCCCCAACCCTTTTATACTTTTATTTTGAGGCATATTCTCACTAAGTTGCTCAGGCTGCCCTCAAACTTGGGGTCCTCCAGGCTCAGCCTCCTGAGTAGCTGGGATTACAGGTGTGTACCACCACCACGTCCAGCAAGAACAGCTGTTTTTAACTGCTGCATAATACAGCTTGCTGGGGGGACAGGATTGTGAACAGTTTAGAGGAAGAAGTCTCCAAGGAGAGTAGTGAAAGTAAAGTGGAAAGGTAAAAGCTTTTTGGAGAATTCAGTGTTTGGTGGAAGGCCACTTTCACAGAGCCTCTTTGGGGCTGTCATTAGCACACAGTAAATAAGGGGTTGTATAAGTGTTTTCTAAGTGTGACTCAGTGGCCACAACAAGAGAAACAGCTGTCATCCTTCCACCAGAAGAGTCAGCACCCTAGGGATAAGTGTGTGTGGGCCAGGCCCCTGTGTGATATGTGGGGCAAGTAGCTCCGAGATGTTCTGATTATTTTCCAGAAGTGTCGTGGAAGTAGAACAGCGTGCTCCCTCATCCCAGGCCTTCCCATGGTGAGAAATAAATGCAAAGGTCACAGAGATACAGAGAACCAGTGGCGGTTTAGGAAGAGTCATCCAGTCTCTTTGGACAAAAACCATCAATCCTTTCCCCACCGGGACCCTGACTGACATTCACACTCATCTTTATGTCCTGTTGCCATGTACACTGCGTCTGGGATGAGTGAGAGGAAATGGAAAGTGCTTCCTTTGCCTTCCTCCTCGTCAGAACCCCATTTGTCAGACTCACTGTCATGGCCTGTAGCAAACTCCACCCTGGACAGGTGTCTTGTTCTTTCACGATCTACTCATTGTTCTCCTTGAGGACACCACACGGCTGGCTCAGCATTTAGTTTCGTGCCACCATTTACCGTGAGAGGCTATGGCCTATCAACATGGCTCTCCTAAGTCCTTGTACGCTTTTAACTTCAAAAAAGATAGTGCCCTCTCAGTGCAAGGGGGTGTGAAGCAGGAACGAGAACTCAAGCTTGAGGAGAATGGGAAACACAGGGCCGGGTGTCGATGAAGCTCTGAAGCCGTTCCAGGTCTTAGCGTGATGGTGGGTGTGCTCCGCGTCAGCCACTCTCACCCTTTGGCCTAGACTTGCACATCTGACGCTGAACAGGGGGAATCAGTGCCTCCTCGGGCACCTGCCCTGCTCCTGTTTATGACTCTGAGCCTGACAGTGGGGAAGGGGAGCCTCTTCCACCAGATAAAGGGGATGAGCAGATGCCTTGGAAGGACATGTAAAGAGCAGAGACAGCAGACAGGTCCAGTCATTTCTGGTGACAGTATTAAAGATAGTATTGGCCGTGCCATGGGCTTCTCTTGGGTTCAGTTCCCCTTCACAGATTGAACCCTCAAATCCAGGGGCTCTTTCTTTCTGGTCATTTATTTGCATGTGGACATTCTGGTCACTTTGGTGCTTATTCACTAGCTCACATTATTCTCTGATAAGAAACTTCAACATCCATTGCAGATTGGGCTCAAGGTCATGGCGTCTGAGTGGGAGGGAATAGATGAGATCTGGTATTGGACTTTCGGACCTCACTGCCTCGCGTGGAGGAGTTCAGAGACAGGATGGATTGGGAGCTCTTCTAGGCACCAGCATTTCTTCTCCAGAGGCTCTGTGTTAGGGAACCCAAACAGACTTCATTTCAAGTCCCAGTTCTGGTTGACCAGTAGTGATAACATTAGAGTACGACTCTGCAGAATGTCTGATCTATCATCCATTAGTGATGTCTGCCACGGGCATTTGGGGTGTGGAGGGGAATGGTTTCAGATCTCACATACCTGCCATCTTTTCCTTGGGTATATTTCAGTGCTCACTTTTCCTTGGGACTGACATGAATGTTCATATGTGGCCTAAAACCTCTGTTCCTCTCACACTCTGCCTACAGGATGTGAGGCGTGTGCCTGGAGTAGCCCCGACTCTTGTCCGGTCAGCATCTGAGACCAGTGAGAAACGTCCCTTCATGTGTGCTTACCCGGGCTGCAATAAGAGATATTTTAAGCTGTCCCATTTACAGATGCATAGCCGGAAGCACACTGGTAAGTGTGTCCATGGTCCAGCCCTGGACACAGGTAGTTCAAGAGCTCCTGTTCTGGGCTCACATGTAGGTGACTTCTGGAATGGAAAGTAGGCATTGCTTAGAAAGGTCAGGCCAAGGCCATTTTCATCCTGATTGTCCATCCTTTATTAAGAAGTCAGTAAACCGTCTTCAGGAAGAACAGAACAGAGTGGTAGAAAGAGAATATCATGGAATTAAAGAGACCCACGCTTGAATCTGGCTTCACCGAGTGGGAGCCCTTGAGCAAGTTACTCGCTGAACATCATTTGCTTCATGTGGAAAAGGCATTGTAGATTTAAAATACCTAGCATAGAACCCTATGTCTAGGGGTCTGAACGAATGCTAGTGATCAAATATTCTTACCATCTCTAAGGGGAGAGGAGCAAACCTGGGCATAGGATAATCTGATGACTTGAGTGATGGACAAGGTCATCATAAAACTTTGAAGGAATTGTCCAGAGAAGAACTGAATCACTTGGGTTAGTAATAACCAACCAGCAAGGAAAGGGAAAATGGCCTGTAGTTAAATTTTTGTCACTAGTCTTTTAAAAAATGGAGAAGTGATTTTTTTGATTATATGTTCTGGAAACTGGACACACCCTTCTATCCTGGGTCAAGGAGTCTGTGTCTGGGACAGAGTTGGCCTTGTCTGGTTGTTGGCCACCTTGAACGCGAACAGGCATTTCACAGATTCACTCAGCCTTGTGGGCACAGAATGGGCATGTGTCTGGGTCTTCCCTACAGGGAGAATGTGAAGCCCAGGCTTTTCCGCAGAGAAGCTGGTGCTGGTCTTTCCAAGTGAAGGACAGCTTCATGCTGTGACTACTCTCATTATTTTGTTATTCCTGCTGATTTCGCTGTGGGGTAACTGAAAGTGAGCTGCCTTCAGATCCCTTTAGACCATTGGGCTTTGCTAACTCATTGCATCTGGAGGATGTGATTCTGCCATAAACTTGAGCTTGCACTCAGTGGACCACAGGCTTTGATGAGAGCACCTGTGGCATGTTATGCTTTTTACATATTCCCCTCAATGGGATCATTTGAAAAGTATCCACCAAGGCAATAAGAAAAAATGATAAAGTCAGATTCTGCCTGGAAAAATGCAAGGGACTATATTGAAGGTGATATGGTTTGTAGAAACTTACTGGAAAAGAGGCACTGACAGCAAAGGAGGGTTAGAGGGCTGTGGATGAAGGCAGTGAATGAGACAGCCAAGAGCCCCAGGGCCCCTGGAGCCTCCACGAAGCTCTTCCTTGCAGAACACAAGGCAGTCAGGTCGGTGTTCAACAATCCTGCAGCCCCTGTCTTCAAAGAGTGCAGTGTTTGTTTATGTATTTATAATAACAATACAGACTAGTATATGGAGAATTTTTATGTGCTGGTCTGCCTACGCACGTTATTTCATTTAATCCTCACACACAAAACCGTTGTCAAAAGGGTAGGACATAGTGGAAGCAGGACTTCAGAACTCCGTCCTTTTAACCCCAAATCACAACCTCCTTCTCAAGGAGGGGGTGGTGCACTTTGGAGCGAGGATATACCCTAAAGAAAAGGAACTGAGAAAACATGGGGTTACATTCTAACTCAGGTCCTGGAACAGCTCTGAAGTTGAGAGGGAAGGGGTTTGAGCGAGGGGCACTGGAGAAGTTTTCTTGAGGAACAGGAAGGTCTTGGGTTAGCTGTGGAAGACTGATGAGGTCAGGCAGAGCCCTTGAAGGGTGAGCAGAAGGTCGACTGCAGGGCAAGGAAACCAGATGAGAAGGGGCGCCGTCTCCTCCAGGTTGCAGAGCTGCCACAGAAGTCACCGGGCTGGGTACAGATAGAAACAAAGGAAAGCTCTCCAGATAGTGTAGCCTGTGGAGAAGGCAGACGGAAGCGGCTCACCTCATTAGATGCACTGGGATAAATTCTGTGATGAGGGAGGGAAAGGGTTTGTATCTGACCATGAAGTGTCCAAGCAGGCATCACAGGGAAGTGAGTGGCAGTTGTGAGGGACATAGGGTTGACTCTTGGATGGGTAAAAAGTGAACGTAGGAATGAAGAGTGTCTAGTTGGCTACAGTCGGGGTACAGATATCAGGAAGAGGGCAGAGGTCAAGAGCAGAAAAAGGCACTGGGGGCTGCCCACCAATAGAAAAGACTTACCAGACCCTGGGGTGGCTTGTTGTCCGTCTCAGAATGCCAGCGACTCAGAGGTCTGAGGAGGGGGAAGGCCACAGTTACTGAGTGCCCTCAGCTCCTGGGGTTTGGCTGCACTTTCTCTGTGGAGGACGGGGTGGGGCAGGGGATTGTGCAACCCCACGACTGACTTTTCTCTTAGAACAGAATGATACAAATTTTCTAAGTGCTTTGGCTCCGTGGATTGGTTGATGCTTGACTCAAAAATGTGAAGTCAGTAGCAAGGAACACCAAATCTTCAGGCTATAAAACTTAAAACACTTATTTCTGGGGCTAGCCTCAAGGCACACCCATCCCAGAATTCTGCCCCACACTCAACCTAGGAGTTAAAACACCTTTGGTTTTTATTTAAGTATTCTCTGCTGTTATTTTTTGAGCACTGCTTTTGTGCTATGCACCAGCCTGAGCCCTTTATGTGGACGATCAAGTCCTTTGAAGGTGTCAGATTATTGGTCCAATTTCCCAAGGAAGAACTGTGCCTCACCCAGAATTGTAAGCAGCAGAGCTGGTGAGGGACGGCCCTCGTTCACCCAGCCCAGTGTCTGCGAGTGTGCACAGCTGGGCCTTTGATCTCCTGTGGAAATTGGCATCGCCGCTGCCCAGAAGAGCTCCCCGAAGTGCCTGAGGCATTTTGGGATCCCCTCAGTCCAAGTAGGTGAGGTTGCCTCTGATGAGATCGCACTTCCAGTGTTGTTTTCAAATAGAATATGTGTCTTCCCCAAGGTGAGAAACCATACCAGTGTGACTTCAAGGACTGTGAGCGAAGGTTTTCTCGTTCAGATCAACTCAAAAGGCACCAAAGGAGACACACAGGTTTGTAGGTTCCCTTCTCGTTGCCAGCAGTCGTGTTCCCTTGGGTTAGGGCTGATTTTGTGATGCTCTTCCGTGTTGAATATGGATGAGAGGGTCAGCCATCTGTTGCATTTTTTTCCAAGAATCCACCCCCTCCCCCAAATCTGGAGACTTTCCTTTTCTTGAAGAAAAAGAAAAGGAAAGAAAAGGAAACATCCCTCGCCTTCTGCAGACCACAGCACAGTGAGATCCCACAGCCATGGGCTGCTGGTAGAGAGTACCAGTCAAGACCAAGGGTGGCGGAGAGCAGAATAGGGGTGCAGCAGGATTCACCTTTTCAGTTATGATCCAGCTGAGACCTTCTCTCTGATGAGAAGCTAGACCTTGTGGTCAAGGAGTGATTGTTTCCAGGACAGAAGCAGGTCCTTGAGGGTTACAGTGCAGAACCAGGTGGATCCTACTGCTGGACCTGGGGGATTGGGGAAATGTGAGGGCCTGACAGACATTGCAAGTGTGGCTGGAAATACTGGGCTCCTCCAGCTGCCACCAAGCCAGCCTTGTGGGCCTCGCTGTGCCCCACATGGTTAGGGCCGAGGCTAGACCTTCTCTGTCCGTTTAGGTGTGAAACCATTCCAGTGTAAAACTTGTCAGCGAAAGTTCTCCCGATCCGACCACCTGAAGACCCACACCAGGACTCATACAGGTAAAACAAGTGCGTAAACTTTTCTTCACATTTATTTTTCATTATTTTTTTTTAAAAAAAACTATCGTTGATTGAGCTTGTTTGTGATAAGAGAGATTAGATTTAGAAACTCAATTGAGAGAAAGAACAGTGTGTAGCTATCTTAATATGATAAATAATAATGTTTCTCAAAGAAGGAGAGAAGGGGAAATGCAGAATAGGAGAGAGATGTGGCAGGAACATCCAGAGTGTCCAGAATAAAAATGAGAGATAAACTAGGTCCCTACTATTCCCGATTTGTCCAGTCACATTTTTTTTTTTCACTTGGTTTGACACAATAATCAACCTTACAGAAAAAAATAAAAATTTAGCAAGCCAAACACTTATTCTCCTGAGAGTTCGTATTTCAGGACCCTGCTTGGAGAACTGGTTCTAATGCCCCCAAAGCAGTCTTAGTTTCTGCTAGACTGACTTCAGTCCTCAGTCCTAGCGTACAGAGGGATTAGGGCTTTTACATCTCCACTGGCTGTTGAAGGATTTTTGCTTGTCCACAAGGCTGGTGTGATTCATAATGAAATTAGCACCGCTGTATTGCATATTTTTTACCTTCGGAAGGAGGGCTTTTGGTTAGGTGATCTCATTTTATCTTCCTAATATCCACATAAAAAGAGTAGTGTAGGAGTGATTTATCCCTAATTTACTGACGAGGAGGCAAAGGCTCTCGTGAGTAAAGGACTTGTCTGAAGTCACGAAGCTAGTAAGCAGCAAACTCAGCCAGACTGCTCCCAGCCCCCCTTAACCCACTGTCTTCTTGATGGAAGAGCATGAGTTCATGCAGCCTCCAAGGAGGACAGAAGTAAGAAGACAGCCAAAGCCAGCAAGGTTGTCTCCACTGAGGTTGGATTGATTGAGACTGGTGGGAGAAGGGGTCAGAATTTGTCCAGTAGGAGGCAGAGTTGGGAGCAGGAGCAGATCAGGAAGAGCAGAGGGACAGTGAGCGGGAGGTGAAGAAAAACAACCCCCACCCCGGGAGTCCACAGTCGAGGCACCGGTGTAACAGTGGGCATGATGGGCGGTGCTTTGCTCCCGTCTTTTGACATGGCTTCTCTGACTTAGTCCTGAGCTCACAAAGTGGTGGGAAAGAGTTGTCCCTTGTGCACCCACCCCCCATGTGTGTTCCAAGTGACCTGTGTCACCAGCAGACTGATATTATATTTGCTCATCCCCCATTCTGACCATGGGACACCACATCTCCTGGGACATTTCTCGGATCAGTAGTCAGAGAAAGCGAAGTGGGACCAGCAATATCCTGAGAAGATCTTCCAGGAGGTACAGGGTTGGCTCCTATGGCATTATCCTTAGGAAGGCCCTGGAGGTACAATACAGGAAAGAGTCTGGGCTTTGGAATTAGACAAGGCTGGATTTTAGGCCTGCTTAGGTTTGTTCTTGCTAGATGTCCAACCTCATCTATAGGATGGGGATAATGTTTCCCTCATGGGACTGTTGTAAGGAATATATAAGGTGTGCGCGTGCACACACACACGCACACACGCACACACACAATGTCCAGCACAGGACAAGTCTTGGCATCGGTCAAGCATTTAATAAAAATTAGTATTCGTCCCTAATGAGATTGAGGCTTGGGAGGAATGTCTTGAGGCTCTGTCGATAGAGTCGGCTTATATTTTGACAGAACCATGCCTCAGTTAGAATCTTCTGTATAACAGAGATGATGCTCTGAGTGACCCTGACCCTTCATGGTAAAAGAAGCAAATAGCATGCAACTGGTGTCAGTGATTTATTTTAAAATATCCGTAGAGAGACATTAAAGCTGCAGACCCAGCTCCACCTCTGTATAGCAGTCAACAACATCCAGGGTGTGATGATCCCGAGGCCCTTGCAGCTGAGTTGAGCTCAGTTCCCTGCTCAGCCACAGGGAACCATTGCCATAGTTCATACATCATTCCAACAGTAGACTGGAACAGATGCTTTCCCCCTTAATTAAATACGAATTTCCCAAATATTTCCATTAACCAGATTCATCCCTTCTTTCCTGTTTCCCTAGTCTCTTAGTCTGGATGGAAGAATATTTCATAATTTTTACATGATCTCGGACATTATTTAGCCCCCAGAGGTGCTGCCTTAAGCAAGCCCATTGATTAGCTTAGGGAAAGACCTGTGGGAATCAGGGGCAGGTGGCTGTGATGAATGAACTCAGGCCTTTGATAATTGAACTTGTGCCAGTCTTGCCGAGGCAAGTGTCTCTGACCGGCAATTGTATCAACAGGTGAGAAGCCCTTCAGCTGTCGGTGGCCCAGTTGTCAGAAAAAGTTTGCCCGGTCTGATGAATTAGTCCGCCATCACAACATGCACCAGAGAAACATGACCAAACTCCAGCTGGCGCTCTGAGGGGTCCAACACGGGCACAGTTCTGTGACCCAGGCAGGACAGTGTGTGAACTACTTTCAAATCCAATTTTGAAATTCTTCACTCACCTAAGGATATGGCCGTTGATCATCTTCATCCAACTTCCAAGACAAGATACCTGTACCACTGGATCCTACCAGGTTTGCGGGAGGAGTTGGACTCTCCTCTGCCTAACTCACAGGCCTGGAGAAGCAGCTAATGATGTCTGGTTAGTTAAAAGCCCATCGCCATTTGATCTGGATTTTCCATTGTAAGAAGAGCCGTTGTTGATCACGTCCCTCCAACCCTCCCCTTCTCCTTTACGCTCATTTTCACTAGGAAGGGAGGGATGGTACCATTTCCCATCATGGAATATTTATAGGCCAGGGCATGCGTTTGTGTCTGCTAACGTAAACTTTGTCATGGGTTCCATTTACTAACAGCAGCAGCAAGAAATAAATCAGAGACATTGGGGGTGAGGCTCATCCAGCATCCTGGAGGTCAGGCGGGCTGCTAACCTGGAAGACAGGATGTAGTTCCACCAGGCGACTTTTAAAACATACGTGTTTCAAGCAACTGAAAAAAAAAAAAAAAAGAATCAGAACTAACCAGTACCTCTGTATAGACATCTAAAAGAATCTAACTGCTCAATTAATCAGTGTTAATGTTAGCACAATGTTCTTAAGCAACCGTGTGTGAAGATGGGAGGTTTTTGTGGTTTTGACTTTTTCTGAGTCACGTGCATCATCAGAGATGTACCCATGTCTTCACACAAAGAAAATGGAATTCATGTTCATCATTGGGGTGTCCTTAGAGTGTACAGATCACACTGGCCATGTGGCTTCAAGTTGTAAAAATTAAAAGTGAGTTTAAAAGAAAATAGGGGGCTGGTCCAGGATCTCCGGATAAGTCTGTTCTTAAGTAACTTAAGTAACTTTGGGTCTACAAGTATATGTGAAAAAAAAAAATGAGACTTGCTAGTGTGGAGGAAATCCATTGTTTAAAGGTTTTGGGGTATGTGTGTGAGTGTGTATGTGTATTTTGTTTTTTAAGGGAGGGAGTTTATTATTTACTGTTGCTTGAAATTATTGTGTAAATATATATATCTGGTAATGATCTGCTCTTTGACGACTAAAATTAGGAAATGTATAAATGTTAGGTGCATCACTGGGTGTTGATCTTGCAGCATATTGATGATAACACTAAAAAACTGTAACCTGCATTTTTCACTTTGCTCTCAATTAAAGTCTGTTCAAAAAGAATGACAAGATTTTATCAACTGTGTTGTGTTTGAATCTTGAGACCAATTCAGCCTTTTTTAAACAGGTACAATGCCACTAACTTTGATGGCTACTAGTAAGCCTATCTAGGTTCTGACGACAGATGTTTTTTCTGTCAGACTTACAGAGGGAATTTTCTGTGCTAGAAGAAGCAGAGTTCCACCTTCACTTTGCATGGTGACATGATTGTGTTTGTGCTAGATGGTTGAGTGTCTGTGGATGATGTGATGGGAATTATGGTTTAGGGTTTATTTTACCAAGATTATCATCATTGTTTTTTAAGGGGGGTGATGGAACCCAGGGCCTCACACATGCTAGGGAACTGCTCTAACGCTGAGCTATATTACCAGCCCTTATATCATTTTATTTTGAGACAGAGTTCTACTAAGTTGCCCACACTGGCCTCATACTTGGGATCCTCCTGCCTCAGTCCCCTGAGAAGCTGAGATTACAGGCATGTGCCACTGCACCCAGTTCCTTGTAACCTTTTTTGTTCCAGATCAGCAGAAGAGAACAGAGAGGTACTAATGATAAGTGATCTTTTTTGAAAAGTTCATAGAGACATTCCCGGGATCAGGAGGGCATAAGCTGAACACAGAGTACAACTGAATTTACAACTGTAGTAGCTATAAATCAGCTCAGCAGGTAAAACTGCTTAGATTTTCCTGGGCAGCTGAGTGTGAAAGCAAAGATCTATATTATCTATAAACTCTTTATGGTTCTGGAGTGTGGTTTTCCACTTGTAAACAAGAAGATTCATTTGGTAGGCCCCTCTCAATTCTATTATCTTGGAGCTTATGTGCATTCCAAGTTTCTTTTTTTTTTTTTTTTAATTTAAAATGTGTCTTGAGCAGACAGGAGCCCAGCCACAGACACTCTTTTTAGCATTCAAGTGCAGTTCAATGTTTGGGCCACCTGAAAGCCTCGTTTGGAGGCCCCTCTTATTGTGCATCTGGTTCTTGCATCACTGTTAATTATAGTGAGTATGGTGACTCATGTATATCAGCCAAATTTATCTTTTCCCGCCAGAAGATAGCATTTCCCTGGAGACGCTCAGGACAAGCATGGCAAACGTCAGCAAGTCAAGAGATTTCACAACAAAAGCACAGCCTCAGGGGTTGAAGCTGAGCAATAGCACACTTGCCTGGCATGTGTGGGACACTGGATTTGATTCTCAGCACCATGTATATATAAATAAAATAAAGTCTATCAACAGCTAAAACAATAATTAAAAAAAAAAAAAAAGCACAGCCACATTGCTTCCATGGCTCAAGGAAAATGGGAGATTCTGACTACCCCTGCAGTATAGCTTGCAGCAAAGGTCAGGGGCTTTAGAAAGGAGAGCAACCTTGGTTCCAATCTCAAGTCCCAGTTTTCTCATTCTTGAAGTGGGGATGGAGCCCCTGATTGGTAGGGTCACCATGAGGATTCACTGAAAAACTGTGAAAATATCTAGTACATACTAAAGGCTTATGTAAGAATGATCTAGGGAAACTATTCGCCCCTGATTCACCTGCTCACTTCTTTTTCCTCCCTCTCCCTGCCTGCAGTGTCTAGGCATCCTCACAGGGCAGCTCTGCAAAATGACAAAAAGTCCACCCCCAGACCCCCAAACTAGGGTGAAAATTTACAGCAATTGGGTTCCTGGCCAGCCTTGCACAGAGACCAGCTCTGCTTGCTCCGTGTTGTTTGTAAAGCACCTGATGAACCCTGAGTGTGTTTCTGCAACCCGCAGTGTGGGCCTTCTGCAGACTCTCCGGAGCCAGTGGGTGGGCGCTGGTCCGTGGGAGTCTCCTATGGTCTAGGTTAGAGGCTGTATTGGGAGATGGTCAGAATGTGTGTTTTTCCTTCTTGATTTACACCAGTGGCTGGTTCTATCCTTCCAGCCTCCCCAATTTCCTCTGCTGGGTCTTCTCATCCAGACTTCCTGTTATTCTCTCATCTGAATTTCTCAAGCATTCAGAATGTGTACAGTTGAAACAGTGCCTAATGGCAGTGTAGTGCTTGCGCATCTTTTAAAATTTCAGAACAATCCTGTAAGGTAGACAGGGCAAGTGTTATGCCCACTTTACATTTGAAAACATTGAGGCCCAAGGGAGGTAAGAGACTGAAACAGGTCTTGGTCTCATTCTTCTTGATTCAAGTTTCCTACCCAAACTTGATTGATGTAGACTTCTATTTTGCCCCTTTTGACTATATACTAGGTTTTCCCAACCAGCACAGAAGCTTCTAGGGGGAGATCTAGTCCCTTTTCTGGGTTATTTGCCTTAGTGTTTCTTAACTTATTAGTCTGTAGATATCACCTGGGGAGTTTGCTAAGGTGCAGACTCTGATTCTGAAGTTCTGAGGCAGGACCTAAGTATCCAACACTAACCCTCTCCCAAGTCATTCCCACCATGCTGGGCTGTGGACAGCACTTATGTAGAAAGGACCTACAGGATGGTCTCAATAAATACTTGTTAAAAGTGACTCAAAGGTGACAGATGAGATTTGCACTTGACAACTCTGGGGAGGTGCTGAACACTGCTAGCCCTTGATAATGGCCGTGATGGTGGCCCCTGATGATACGAGTCAGACATTCTGTGGAATTTGGTCAGTGAAACTCTGTGCACTAACCCTGGTGAAGCCATTTGTGAGGAGGTTAGTTTTCAAACAGCCCATCCTGTGTCAGTGACTTCTACTAGCAGGGGACACTTCACCCGATGAGATCCAATGTGGTGGGGACCACGCCTGCATATCCCATCCAGAGGATGTCACTCCGTCACACATCTCGGCAATGGGCTACCGCCTCCCTGACACCATGAACCAGCATCCTCAACTGAAACCATGTGTCTGGAGAGGGTCCATTCCCTGGGAGCCAGCAGCCTCATTGGCAGGCAGGGAGTTCCCAGATCTTGCCTCCACTAGGAAGTACTTGCTTGGCTATTTTGGGTATCAGTGGCAAAGGCAATGGCCCTGGAGCCCTGTGCTTCCTGCAGGGTGTTTACACCCCACTGAAGTTGGACTAACCAGTGTGTCAGGAAGAAGTGTGTGTGCACATGCACACATGTGTAGAAAGTGGTTCTCAACTGGGGGAGAGTTTGCTCCCCTAAGGGATACTTGGCGATGTCTAGAGAGGCTTGAGATCATCACAGCAGGAGCAGGAGCACCACTGTTAAGAGGCCAGGGTGCTGCTAAACAACCTGCAGTGCCCAGGACACCTCTCCCCTGCACCGAAGAATTATCTGGACCAAAATGGCATGGTCTCCAGGTTGAGGGGTCCTGGTGTAGAAGAAGGGAGTCAATTTCCCTAGATAGAATTATCACCAGGTTAGAGGGGAGAAGGGGTCCAGTCCTTAGGTGGCCTAAGAATTGCTGGCCAGTCCTCCTGAGATCTACCTTGCTGAATTAACTCTTTGGGAGGCATTTGCATTGAAGTCTCTAAGCAGGCCGAGTGGCTCGTCGGAATTTCTCAGAGGTAAATGCCTTCAAACCACAATAAGGAGAACACATCCTGAAGAAATAGGAAGAAGGTCTTGGCCTTTTTTTATTCATGTCATTTTTAGTGACCCTTTTATCAAGTGATTGAAATCTGCAAATATTTGATAGGACGCTTACCAAAGCTAATCAGTTAATGCAAATGCTCCTGATGATGGCAACACCTGGAGGAATTTTCCACCATCATTTAATGCTCTGCTGAGAAGGTAACTAATAGAAGGCTCTGAAATTTTCTATATTTCTACATTTTAAAGGTAAAAATCCCAATTCTCTTAGTTTTTAGATAGGCCCCAAGAAGCAGAGAGGCAGAAAGCAAAGGAAGGGCCAAGTCTCAGAAGGTTGGAACCCACCAGCCCCACCCCCTCACAGGAGCTGTGCACAGGCCAGGCCAGAGCCCAAGGACTTCACAGTCCTCCTGGACAGGCTTGGGCTTTGGAGGCTGATGAGGGCAAGACATGCTCCCCAAGACAAGGCTCTGGAAGGCAGTGCCTGTAACCAGATGGACAGTCACTCCGTTATGAGCAGAAGCCTCCAACAGAGCTGGCAGATGTGAGCAGGCAAAGCAGACGGAACTAGCCATTGGGAGCTGAAGAGATAGCAAGAGAGTTTTCTGGAACAGGAGAGGCTTGAAGGAGGGTGTGGGGGATGGGGCTGAGATGAATGTAGGGTGGCGACTGGTCAGAACAAGTGACTTTCCCTCCCTCTCATGGCCTGACACAGGGGACACTGAGGCCCACTAAGAGGGAGGCTGGACTCCACCAAAAAGAAGGACGGGTGGAAAGAGGAAGGCAGGTTGGAGAAGAAAGACGAGAGAGATGAGGAATGAAGTGTGGGTGTCAGGGAGGTCTGACGGGAAGAGGGGCCTTCTGTCTGTCAGGGCCTGACCCCCACGTGAACCTACACGGGCCCTGCTCCAGCCCGCCCTGCAGGACTTCCCCAAGTGGGAGATGCTCAGGTGATAAAGGCAAATAACCACGAGACGTTTGTTAAGCCTCTGTGCCCAGACCTGAGCCCTTGTATGTGTATTCTCTCACTCACAGCAATCCCCATTTGATGGGTGAAGAGACTGAGGCTCTCAGAAGCACCTCACCCAGGGCCATACAGCTGGCGGGATGGCACAGCTGAGATTTTAACCCGATTCTGACTCAGAGCCCACACTCTGAACCCCTGTACTGTATGGTACTACCCCCCATCCCTGGGCTTGTTGGCCCCCAAACCAGAGGAGAGGGACCACCAAGAACGCAAGAGCCATACCTCACCACTCACTACTAGGAAACCAGGGATGTCTTTCAAGTGCCCAGAGTCAGGGCAGGCCGATGGGCAAAATGTTCCCTCCCCTCGTATCCAGCTGTACAGCCTGTTTGCAAAATATGTTTTCATTCAGTATTTTATATTAAATACCGGAACTCAAGAGATGACATAGCCTAATGTGAGCCGGACAGTGATAAAAGGGGAAAATTGAGAAACACATTTGAAAAGTTCAAGGTCAATTGGTTAGTTTTTAA